AGTGCAGGGGGTGCTGCCAGCCTTGGACATTTTCAAGCGGCCTAGGCCAAACATCAGAAGCAGCTAAGCAGAAGGCTTCAAAGCCTGTTTCTGCATGACCATAGTGTGAACCTCTGCAGCTGTGACAACTAGCTTGGTCAGCAAAGTAAAGGAAGCCATCCACATGTCTAACTAAACCAGTAATGAGATACCATTAAACAATGCACAAGGCCTGAAAGGAGTATTGTAAGGGACGGCCATGCAGTGTTTCTGGATTATTTAATGTATTCTAACTATCTTAAAATATTTGTAATAGTAATTGATGTAACCAAATGTATAGATGTTATTTCACATGAATAGATATATTTTTATTTCACACGAACAGATATATTTTTGTTAAGATGCTTAGATATTTTGTAAAACAAAACAGCCTTGCCAGAGAAGACCATAAACTAAGATAAAGAAGAAACAGGTCAGTGCTGAACAGCATTCCACAATGGGGCAGGAAAGGAAATCAGAAACTCTCCCTTCTACTTTCCTAAGGATAGCAGCTCCAACTAATTGATGCCTTCTAAGTTCACAAGACATCTGGTTGGGCCTAGTTCCAGAAGTTTCAGTGGAACAAATACATTTAAATAAAACCAATCAGAGATAATTTAATTACATTATTAGAATCAGCCTTCTATAAATACTGGACATAGGCTAGAGGGAAATTTGGAAAACTCAGCAAATTCAAGAAGACCTACTACCAATCTCTGCACCAGCCTGCTACCTCCAGAGTCTCCCCAGCCAGTATAAGTAATAATCTGTGTTGTGCTGTCATGGATAGGCAGCTAGATTTTGGGATAAATGTTTGTTTTTAAGTGGAAGCAAATGAAAGGTTGGGCTGTAGACCTGTTTCCTGCCACTTTTATCAGTAGCCTGTCTACAAGGGTACCTGTAATCTGGGGGACAAGGAAACCATGCCAACTAGACCAGTGGCCACAAGGGACTGCAGCTTAAAAGTAAAGCTCAGAGGATGTGTCTACACATGCACTTTGATGTGCATTGGCTTATTTTAATGTGCATAAAAGTGTCATGAAAAAACTGTGCTATTTAGTTAATGTGCATTAAAATAGGCTAATACACATTATGCATCACTTAAAAAACCATGCTCTTTAGTTAATGCGCATTAGGACAGGCTATTTTCTTAGTACCTCACAATGGAGGATGCCTGTACACATACTAGGAGGCTGCTCCGACATGTTGTTATTCCAGTGAGTTGAAGCAGACTTGATTAATTGAGTCTGCTAATTAGCCTGCTCCAGCCTGTCTCTACATCTCATGTATTAGTGTCCCCATGCTTCAAAATGGTGGGTGGGGGGAGGCGCTTTAACTAAAGTCCATTTCATAGATTTCATAGCCATTAGGGCTGGAAGTGACCCTGGAGGATCATCGAGTCCAGGCCCCTGCCCCAGGGGTAGGAAGTCAGCAGGGATCATAGGATCCCAGCAAGATAAGCATTTAAATGCGTCTTGAAGGAATTCAAAGTGGGCACTTGAGCCACCTCAGATGGCAGTCTGTTCCAAACCTTGGGGGGGCTCGGACAGCGAAGAAGTTCTTTCTTATGTCTGGCCTGAACCGATCACAGTGGAGTTTGTGACCGCTTGATCTTGTCATCCCTTGGGGGGCTCTGGTGAACAGTTGTTCCCCCAGATCCTGATGAGCACCCCGATAAACTTATAGGTGGCCACCAGATCACCCTAGCCTGTGCTTTTCCAGGCTGAATAGCCCCATTGCTCGCAGTCTTTCTTTATAAGGTCTGTTTTCCTGACCTCTGATCATGCGCATGGCTCTCCTGCACCCTCTCAAGCTTCTCCACGTCCTTTTTGAATTGTGGAGCCCAAAACTGAACACAATACTCCAGCTGCAGCCTCACCAAGGCCAAGTACAGCGGGAGAATGATGTCCCGGGATCTGCTTGAGAAACATCTATGGATGCAAGCCAGCGTTTTGCTCGCTTTACTAGCTGCAGCATCACAGTGAAGGCTCATGTTCATCCTGTGGTCAATCATGACCCTTAAGTCCCTTTTATCTGTAGTGCTAACCAGCGTAGCACTACTGAGCCTATAAGCATGGTGCAGGTTTTTCCTCCCAAAGGTGGAGAACCTTGCATTTTTCGGTGTTGAACACCATCAGGTTCTTATCCGCCCATTTCATGAGTCTGTCCAGATCTGCCTGGATCACCCTCCTGTCCTCAGAGGTGTGGATGCTGTACCCCAGAGTTTGGTGTTGTCAGCAAACTTGACCAGTCCGCTTCTGACACCAACGTCCACATCATTGATGTAGATGCTAAACGTGACAAGCTTTAAAGTGCCCCACCACCATTTTGAAGCACGGGATGCTGATACACAAGGGGCTGTAGGCGCTTTAATTAGAGCGGCTCTTGGAGCCACTCTAATTAAAATGTTCCCACCACCCCCTGAGCACATGTAAAAATGCCCGGAAGTACTAGATCTAATGTGCATTAACTAAAGTGTGTTAATGCATATGTAGACGTGCCCAGAGAGTAGCAACACTTGTGCCAGCACTAAGTAAGCACTGGAGCAGTATATGAATGCCCTTAGATTCCCTAGATGTGCTGCACTGGGTACCTGGTGGGAGGAAGAGGAAGGATGTGTGTTCTGTACTACAGCTACTTCAATTTACACTTTATTACTGCACATTCTGCCATTAGTTGTGTTTTTGTTGGCTTGTTTCCCTGTCTTCTTCTCCATGTCCTGTAAGTTAAACCAACTTGCATAACATCAGACTACAGTTCAGAGGCTGTATGTAGCATGAGCCTGAGTTACAGGTCAGTAAATGAGGGGACTTCTCATTAGCAAAATGTGAAGGAACAACTGACATGCATTAGACTGCCCTTTGGTTTGCATTTGCTTCCTAAACTGCAGCCAGGAAAACAAGAAGGTTCACCCCCCAGCTAGGCAGTCACAGCACTCAGCTGAATACACCTCATGCTGCCAGAGAAAATGAGAACGTGCCTTCCTGCACCAGAGCTGCTGCTATTGTTGGCATAGTGGCATAGCTCCATTAGCTTCATGAAAGCTGATTTCTGTAGTGCTTTACAGTGATGCTATTTATGGCATCTTCACTGACCAGTTCTGGGTAGTCATTAGCACGTAATGCTAACTGTGGACATGGACACATATGGCATGACACTGATACACGCTGGTTTTAGCCCTGGTATTCCCAGGCTAACTCCACACTAGGCACCAGTAAATTAGACCATTATAAGGCTGGACCTCGAGTATCCTAGTTACACCAGTGTAAACACATTGTGTCCAGCCCTTATCTTTTGCAATTCTGTTGGCTATTACGAGTTGTAATTTAAAGGTACTCCCCAAAGACACTGAAGAGGCTGGTAGTTGGGAGATGTTCTACAAGTAGCTAGTTAGTTAGCGAGAGAGACCAAGAGCCTACAGAAGTTGCCTGTTGCTCCACATTAACACTTTAGTTTCTCTGATTCATGAATCTGGGAGGACTGCATGAAGTCAAATTGCTACTGTTTAGACTTATGCTTTTTCTGAAACTTGTCACCTACAAAACCTTATGCTTTTCTGAATCAGTTCATCACCAAGGTGCCACCAGGCCCTGCGTTCTGCCTGTCCTTTCCCTGTCACACATAGCAAGATAGTCAAACTAGAGAGCTAGGGCAGAAGGCTTAAATCAATGGGAATTGAGTTAAGAGCCTAAGTACCTTTGAAGAGGTAGGCCCAGCTTTCATTGGCACTTTTTTAGTCTTTCACAGGAGGAAGGCCTGGTGAAAGGGCCATGTGGTAATCAGGGTCAGATGCTGACAAGGAACAGTCCACCTGCAAGTATTTTTTAGCCTAAAGGCTCCTCCTCCGCTTTGTTGCAGCCTTGAAGATGATTTCCCCTTCCTCCTCTTTGTAGTTTCTGATTTCAAGCCCTTTCCCAGTGGCCAAAATGTTCCTGGCCAAGGGAATGTCAGCACAGCAAAGGGAGGGTGTGATTGCATCGCATCTCTCTCTCTCTCTCTCTCTCTCTCTCTCTCTCTCTCACACACACA